GGGAATATTTATTTACATTATGTAATTTCTTTTCCCACCCTCAGACGTGGTGATTATTGTTAAGACTCTCAGCACCTGGATAGGAAAGCCATTCCACAAAGAAGGAATCATTTGCCTTTCTCCACCTCACGTTATGAGTCTCCTTCTGGTTGCCATTTAATTCATTGAACCATGTTCTCTCTTGCATTCTACCTCCTTTGCATCATCCTGGCTGTGCAAAGGGGCTGAAAACATCCCACTTCTCCCCAGAGACTGGGTTCAGCCCTAGTTATTTTAGTGAAACTGAAGAGCTGATGGGGTACCTGCACTCAGATCAGGACGTGTTGATAGTAATACATTTCTTTCCAGTAATGCTTAATTTTATAATGCACTACACCATTTGATTTTGAGATGGACTGTCCCTACAACCCCACTGTAGAATGTGTCTAGGGGACTCCGGGAAATCTGGGAAGGTAGGATTTAGGAAAAAATCCGAAGTAGTTCATGCTCCATCGACAAAAGCTGTTTTCCAGCCTTTCATCCAGTGATGAACCCATTCAGTTGCAGATTCTTTTCTCTTAAGAAGCTGTGACTAACCCTCAGCACTGAGAGTAAAGTGTGTGTGTGTGTGTGTGTGTGTGAGAGAGAGAGAGAGACTCCCAGACAATTTGCATGTGAAATTGGGATTGTAAAGCCTGGGGTGGGATAGGCAGAAAGTAACATGGCTGACTACAATCAAAGGGTTTGGGATTAGAGCTGGGTAAATAATGCCTTTTTTTTGGTTCCCTGGTAATTTTGAAAAATAAAAACACATTTTGTTTCAGGTTCAATCAAAAACAATATTTCTCAAAATGTTTCAGAATCAAAAAGTGAAAAGATTGAGTAAAAATGAAACATTTGTTTCAGGAAAGGAAACAAGGACGAGAGTCACAAAACTGTAGAGGAGGAGCAGGTGGCAGGATTGCCTTTGTTATAAGCTTTAGCCAGAGGTGTGGGTACTCACTGGGGACGTGGGTGAGGCCTCCTCAATTGCCCTCTATCTAATGACTGTGGATGATGATGAATAGGAAAAAGACTCTGCAGCCTGGTACCCAGGCCACTGACGTGGGAGACTCTCCACTGACTATTTAATTATATATACACAGCGGCATGGCTACCCTCCAGCTCCTATGCGGAGGCATGGCCAGGCAGTTCTACACACTGTCCTGTCCACAGGCACCGCCCCTGCAGCTCCTAATGGCTGCAGTTGCTGGCCAATGGGAGCTGCGGGGGCGGCGTTTGGGACGGAGGCAGCATGCGAAACTCCCTGGCTGCCCCTACGCATAAGAGTCGGAGGAAGGACATACTGCTGCTTCCGGGAGCTGCATGGAGCCACGGCACACGTAGAGTGGGGCAAACCCCAGACCTTGCACTCTGGCAGGAGCTCGAGGGCAAGATTAAAACATCTGAAGGGCCGGATATAGCCTCTGGGCCATAGTTCGCCCACCCCTAGCTTAGCTAGTCGGTCCCCAGCCTGTAGCAGTGCATGGGATTCTTCCATCCTAAGTGCAGGACTCTGCACTTGTCCTTGTTGAACTTCCTCAGATTTCTTTTGGCCCAATCTTCCAATTTGTCTAGGTCACGCTGGACCCTATCCCTACCCTCCAGCATATCTACCTCTCCTCCCAGCTTAGTGTCATCTGCGAGCTTGCTGTGGGTGCAATCCATCCCATCATCCAGATCATTAATGAATATGGTGAACAAAAATGGTCCCAGGACGGACCCTTGGGGCACTCCGCTTGATACCAGCTGCCAACTAGATATGGAGCCGTTGATCACTACCCATTAAGCATGACGATCTAGCCAGCTTTCTATCCACCTTATAGTTCATTCATCCAATCCATACTTCTTCAATGTGTTGGCAAGAATACTGTGGGAGACCGTATCCAAAGCTTTGCGAAAGTCAAGGTATATCATGTCCACCGCTTTCCTCATATCCACAGATCCAGGTATCTCATCATAGAACGCAATCAGGTTGGTTAGGCATGACTTGCCCTTGGTGAATCCATGTTGACTGTTCCTAATCACCTTCCTCTCCTCCAAGTGCTTCAAAATGGATTCCTTGAGGACCTGCTCCATGATTTTTTCCGGGGACTGAGGTGAGGCTGACCGGTCTGTAGTTCCCTGGATTCTCCTTCTTCCCTTTTTTAAAGATGGGCACTATATTTGCCTTTTCCCAAACATCTGGGACCTCCCCCGATTGCCATGAGTTTTCAAAGATAATGGCCAATGGCTCTGCAATCACATCAACCAACTCCCTCAGCATCCTTGGATGCAGTGCATCCAGCCCCATGGACTTGTGCATGTCCAGCTTTTCTAAATAGTCCTTAACCTGTTCTTTCTCCACTGAGGGCTGCTCACCTCTTCCCCATACTGTGCTGCGCAGTACAGCAGTCTGGGAGCTGACCTTGTCTGTGAAGACCGAAGCAAAACAAGCATTGAGTACTTCAGCTTTTTCCACATTGTCTGTCACTAGGTTGCCTCCCTCATTGAGCAAGGGTCCCACAATTTCCCTGATCTTGTTCTTGTTGCTAACATACCTGTAGAAACCCTTCGTGTTACCCTTCACATCCCTTGCTAGCTGCAACTCCAATTGTGCTCTGGCCTTCCTGATTACTCCCCTGCATGCTCAAGCAATATTTTTATACTCCTCCCATGTCATCTGTCCAAGTTTCCACTTCTTTTAAGCTTCCTTTTCGTGTTTAAGATCAGCAAGGATTTCACTGTGAAGCCAAGCTGGTTGCCTGCCATATTTACTATTCTTTCTGCACATTGGGATGGTTTATTCCTGCACCTTCAATAAGGCGTCTTTAAAATACAGCCAGCTCCCCTGGACTCCGTTCCCCCTCATATTAGCCTCCCACGGGATCCTGCCCATCAGTTCCCTAAGGAAGTCATAGTCTGCTTTTCTGAAGTCCAGGATCCGTATTCTGCTGCTCTCTTTTCTTCTTTTTTTCAGGATCCTGAACTTGACCATCTCATGGTCACTGCTGCCCAGGTTGCCAGCCACTTCTACTTCCCCTACCAATTCTTCCCTGTTTGTGAGCAGCAGGTCAAGAGGAGTACAGTTTCTAGTTGGTTCCTCCAGCACAGGCACCAGGAAGTTGTCCCCAATACTCAACTTAAATAAATGTTTGGGGTCAAAATGATCCATTTCCTTTTGACATTACTGAGACATTTCAACTTCTTCAATTTGGTTGAAACCATTTTTCAAATTTGACATAAATTTGCAGATAGTTTCAGTTAATCTCAAATCGCATTTTTCAGTAATTTACCTATTTGTCCAAAAAATTTCACCCAGCTCTAGTCACGACACTGGACCAGGTTTATCTTATGTTCATAAGAACCACCAGTTTTTATCAAAGTGAGGGGTCGATCTAATCCAATATCCTGTCTCTGATGGTGTGACTCATACCAGATGTCTCAAAGGAAGGGTGAAGAAACCCCAGAGTTAACAATTTCAGAATAACCTGTCCCTTGGGGAAGTTTAATTGAATGCCCCTTTGTTCTGCATTATGCATCTTCTTTACCGTTCCCTTTTTGTGTACCTTTATCATGTCCCTTGTTATTCTTGTCACTGACTCAGTACATACAACCCATCTGCTTGACAGTTAGCCCAGCAAACTGGTTGTGTGTAAAGAACTGAAAATGGTCTTTTTCTCACCGGGGAATCAACTTCAAAGGGGGAAGGAAGGGAGCAGTCTGGATATTTGTGTAATGAAAGGCTTTTTCAACACATGACACCGGGTTGAGGGCAGGGGATGAAGCACTTCAACTAATATATAAAATAAAAATGCTGCTATAGAGACAGCTGTGTCCTCTTATTACATCCCTCTGCTGGCATTACAAGGCACAAAGCTTGCCTCTCTAAACAAACCTATAGCAAACGAGGAGACAGGTCGAAGAAGAATGTATTTGTCCATATTAGCCACAAAACCGAACCTCTCCAGTTCAGTTAATTTTAGCTCAGTGTGCACAAGTCCATACACACGGTAGAAGGGTCTGTCTACTCCAGTGTCCCCCCCATACCTCTTTATGTGCATGCATAACTTGTGGCACCAGCAATTACACAGAGACACTGACGAGCGACTGGGCCTATCCTTGCGTAATGGGACTGTTATTCAATTACATGGTAGCATTTACAATGAGGACTTTTGCCTTTCCCTGATGTGAAGGAGAGCACAAGTATCTTACAGTAAAGAGACAGACAATCACCCTTCCCTCAGCCCTTTTCCAAGACTACTGTACTTTCTGATCTGCTGAACACAATCATTGCAGAAAAGGCCATTTCCATTACTGTGTGAGCAGCATCACCATGATCCAGCTATTGTTGCTTTATAGTGTATCATTAATAGAAATTCATGAGTGCAACAAAGAGACATTCTACCTATGTTAAGCTTTGTCATACTGTTGACAGACTCAACCTCATTGCCATCCATGCAGGTAAAAATGCAGCTGTTCACCATATTAAGGGCTCCATCCTGGAGACCCTACTCCATCAAAACTTCTAGTTCAGTCCTATTTGAAGTTAATGGGAGCTTTGCTCAAGTTAGGACTTCAGGTCTAACTTCATAGTAAAGAATAGTGCTAATTACACTGCCCCTCCCTCCTTTGAACATCAACATTTCTTGATGTTTATTTACAAATAATTGCATTTTCCTATAAAGCCAAAGGCTAAGTGGTGGTTTATATGAGGACAGGCTCCCCTTTCACTCAGAAGAGAAGGGCCTTAGTTATTCTTAGGTTTCTTAGCATGCTGACTCCTGGGTTTCCCACTATTGCTATGGGCAGTTCCTTGTGGCTAACTTGCTTAGTGAGGGAAGGGGCTGTTGTGCTTAGTATAAGGGAGAATCTGTGTCTCTTACTATAGCAAAGGTGACCTTGACGGGGTGAGATTTGGTGCAAGGAAAATATCTTGTCAGAATTTCTCTCCTTTCAGAGAGAGAAAAGGCCAGGGCAAAAACTCAGGAAGGTTCATGTACCTGATCTGCTGTGAGTAGAGGCTCCTCATTAATACCAGAGTCATTTTCACTCTTCTCATTGAGCTCTTCCTCCTTCTTCTCGTGGATCTGAAGAAAAAACCCAAACCAAATTCTGATTGGTCAGCAGCAGGTATATTCCCGCTTGGGTCTTCAGTTTAGCATTGATTTTACTGCATGAATTACTACTCTCCCTCTAGATATCTGAGAAGCATCTGAAAATGAGGTTCACTGATTCTTCAAAATCCAAGCATACTCCACCACTGAGATACAATAGAAGGCCATCATGCAGCATGCTTTGATATGTCAGACCATCTCGTACCTAGGAATGTGGGAGAAGAATGTTGTAGGAGAAGAGGGAATAACAGATCAAGTCAACAGAAAAAGCCTGAGGTGTGTCTGTGTAACCCATAATCAGCTTTAGTGCTGGTGATGTTCTAGATCTATTAGATTCCTATTAGATTCTTCTCACATAATGAATTTTAAAATCATTCTATAGCTTTGTCATTTCAAACACCCTTACCAACATTTTGAAACTATTTATAAGAAATTGATCTCAAAGACCACAAAATGTCCCTATCTGGTAAATAGCAAAACTTATTGATCCGTGCATGTTTAGGCACAGAAAGGATTTTTGCCGCCTGATTTATGAGCTCAGTCCTACAAGCTGCTGAGCATGCTGGCCCTAATCCAGCAAAGCAATTAAGCACATGCTCAATTTTGAGCACATGAGTAGCCCTACTGAAACAAGCCTTCTATCCTGAAACAAGCCTTTTTCAGCCTTTAGCAGATTGGACCCTGCTTGCCAGAAGAGGATGGAATTAGGGCCAGAGGTCCCTCTTGATACGTTGATAGATAGGAAACAGTCACCACTATTCTCCTCATGCTAAAGGAAAGTATATTAATTATTACTATTTTAGTATTGTAGCACTCAGAGGGTACATCTAAACTACAAAAAGCCCTGTGGCAGCAACTCTCAGAGCCCAGGTCAACTGACTCAGGCTCGCGAAGCTTGTGCTACAGGGCTGAAATAGCAGAGTCCTGGCTCTGAGACCCAGTGAAGATACTGCTGGCCAAGTAAATCCAGGCAGTTTCTTTCAAAATAATAAAAGTTCTGGAAGTCCTGGATCTCTCAATGCATCCAGTCCAAATACATTGGTAAGTAAATGCTTTAATTGGAGATATTTCCATGCTCCAGAGCAGGGCAAGCCAAACTGTTGCTGAAGATCCACAAATGGTTTAAATTTATCATTTTCAGTTACCTGCAACACACTCATAATTCCTCTCACTATCTAATCCCTCCACATCAAGGTTTTACCACCGATTTTAAGGATGGGATTGCTCACTAGGATCATTCACCTCTATATGGAAGACTGCGTGGAAGCAGAGTTTTCTAGCCAGGTTTGACCAAGTTTGCTCACAGCTATGATTATGATAGCTCTGGAGCCAAAAAATCTAAAATAATTCAATTCTACAGTGCCTGAAAGGGAGAGAGGGTATACCAATTCTCGTTCAATCCGACCCCAAGGTGGAGCTCTAACGGTCATAAATATGGACGGCAGGTGGAGCCCCACTTAGGGGAGGCTGGCCCCCAGCTCTGCCCCTTCTGCCCCCCCCACCCCTACAGCCAGAGCCCTGAGACTCCCTGCCGCTCTGCCAGGGCCACAAGTCCCCGCCCCCTCAGCCAGAGGAGCCCCGCCCTGGCCAGAGACCCGAGCGCCACCCCCCCTCCCTCCAGCCAGAAGAGTCCCGGGCCAGCTGAAGCCCTGATCCTCCACCCACAACCCAGAGGTGTCCCGAGCCTCCCCCACATACACAAACCTGCCTGGAACTGCCCCAGCCCAGCCACAGCTGTGCTGTGCCTCCCCTCCCCAAGCTGCTGCAGAGAAAAGCCTCTCACCCTTGTCTGAAGAAGTTTTTGATATGTCCTATGCAGGTTCCAGGGCCACTAAGGAGGCAGTATTTGCTACTGAGCTTCCTGGGTCCACCCCCGCACTGCTCCTCGGCCGTTCCTGTTAACTGCTGGAAATGGCCCACCTTGATTATCACTACAAAAGGTTTTCTTCCCCACCCCCCACCCCGCCCCTCTGCTGGTAATAGCTCATCTTAAGTGATCACTCTCCTTACAGTGTGTATGATAACACCCATTTTTTCATGTTCTGTGTGTATATAAATCTCCTCACTGTATTTTCCATTGAATGCATCCGAGATGAAGTGAGCTGTAGCTCACGAAAGCTCATGCTCAAATAAATTGGTTAGTCTCTAAGGTGCCACTAGTACTCCTTTCTTTTTGTGAATACAGACTAACACGGCTGCTAATCTGAAACCTAGGAAGAGACAGGTATTAGTAGTGGGTGATTTGATCATTCGAAACATAGATAGGTGGATTTGCAATGACTGGAAGAACCACATGGTGACTTGCCTGCCTCGTGCGAAGGTTGCGGATCTCTCGAGACATCCAGATAGACTTATGTACCAAGGGAAGGTCATGCCTGACTAATCTAATCGCCTTTTATGATGAGATTACTGGTTCTGTGGATGAAGGGAAAGCAGTGGATGTATTGTTTCTTGACTTTAGCAAAGCTTTTGACACGGTCTCCCACAGTATTCTTGTCAGCAAGTTAAGGAAGTATGGGCTGGATGAATGCACTATAAGGTGGGTAGAAAGCTGGCTAGATTGTCGGGCTCAACGGGTAGTGATCAATGGCTCCATGTCTAGTTGGCAGTCGGTATCAAGTGGAGTGCCCCAAGGGTCGGTCCTGGGGCCGGTTTTGTTCAATATCTTCATAAATGATCTGGAGGATGGTGTGGATTGCACTCTCAGCAAATCTGCGGATGATACTAAACTGGGAGGAGCGGTAGATACGCTGGAGGGGAGGGATAGGATACAAAAGGACCTAGACAAATTGGAGGATTGGGCCAAAAGAAATCTGATGAGGTTCAATAAGGATAAGTGCAGGGTCCTGCACTTAGGATGGAAGAATCCAATGCACCGCTACAGACTAGGGACCGAATGGCTAGGCAGCAGTTCTGCGGAAAAGGACCTAGGGGTGACAGTGGACGAGAAGCTGGATATGAGTCAGCAGTGTGCCCTTGTTGCCAAGAAGGCCAATGGCATTTTGGGATGTATAAGTAGGGGCATAGCGAGCAGATCGAGGGACGTGATCGTTCCCCTCTATTCGACATTGGTGAGGCCTCATCTGGAGTACTGTGTCCAGTTTTGGGCCCCACACTTCAAGAAGGATGTGGATAAATTGGAGAGAGTCCAGCGAAGGGCAACAAAAATGATTAGGGGTCTGGAACACATGAGTTATGAGGAGAGGCTGAGGGAGCTGGGATTGTTTAGCCTGCAGAAGAGAAGAATGAGGGGGGATTTGATAGCTGCTTTCAACTACCTGAAAGGGGGTTCCAAAGAGGATGGCTCTAGACTGTTCTCAATGGTAGCAGATGACAGAACGAGGAGTAATGGTCTCAAGTTGCAGTGGGGGAGGTTTAGATTGGATATTAGGAAAAACTTTTTCACTAAGAGGGTGGTGAAACACTGGAATGCGTTACCTAGGGAGGTGGTTGAATCTCCTTCCTTAGAGGTTTTTAAGGTCAGGCTTGACAAAGCCCTGGCTGGGATGATTTAACTGGGAATTGGTCCTGCTTCGAGCAGGGGGTTGGACTAGATGACCTTCTGGGGTCCCTTCCAACCCTGATATTCTATGATTCTATGTGTAGTGCTGGGGAGGAGCCAGTGGTTGTGGTACATGTAGGTACCAACGACATAGGGAAGGATAGGAGAGAGGTCCTGGAGGCCAAATATAGGCTGCTAGGCAAGAGATTGAAGTCCAGGACCTCCATTCTCTGGTAGAATCCATGTGCAGAGCCAGTTAGACAGGCAGAACTGTAGGGTCTCAATGCATGGATGAGACAATGGTGTGGGGAGGAGGGGTTTAGATTTATTAGGAAATGGGGAAACTTTTGGGAAAGGGGGAGCCTAGACAGGAAGGATGGGCTCCACCTAAACCAAAATGGAACCAAATTGGCTGGCACTTAAAATTAAAAAGGTCGTTGAACAGTTTTTAAACTAAGGGCTGGGGGAAAGCCGACAGGTGCGGAGAAGCATGTGGTTCAGACAGAGACATCCCTTAGGGGAGGATCTATATATCCTAGTAAGGAGGAGAGGATGGAAGATAATAAAATATGGGTAGGATCTGATGAGAAACAGTCAAATGAAAAAGAGTCCCAGTCAATTATATCATGTAATGGCAGACAGCTAAAAAGTGACAAGTTCTTAAAATGCTTATATACAAATACTAGAAGTCTAAATAATAAGATAGGTGAACTAGAGTGCCTCGTATTAAATCAGGATATTGATATCATAGGCATCACAGAAACTTGGTGGAATGTGGATAATCAATGGGACACAGTAATACCAGGGTACAAAATATATCAGAAGGACAGAACAGGTTGTGCTGGTGGGGGGAGTGGCACTACACGTGAAAGAAAGCTTAGAATCAAATGAAGTAATAATCTTAAAGGAACCAAACTGTACCATATAATCCCTATGGATAGTAATTCCATGCTTAAATAATAGGAATATAGCAGTAGGGATATACTACCGACCACCTCACCAAGATGGAGATAGTGATTGAGAAATGCTCATGGACATTAGAGAGGCTATAAAAATTAAAAACTCAGTAATAATGCAGGATTTCAACTATCCCTAGATTGACTGGGTACATGTCACCTCAGGATGGGATGCAGAGATAAAGTTTCTTGATTGGAAAAAGGCCCATATTTAAAAAAGGGAAGAAGGAGAATCCAGGGAACTCCAGACTCACCTCAGTCCCCAGAAAAATCATGGAGCAGGTCCTCAAGGAATCCATTTTGAAGCACTTGAAGGAGAGGAAGGTGATCAGGAACAGTCAACATGGATTCACCAAGGGCAAGTCATGCCTGACCAACCTGATTGCATTCTATGATGTGATAACTGGCTCTGTGGATGTGGGGAAAGTGGTGGACACGATATACCTTGACTTTAGCAAAGCTTTGGATATGGTCTCCCACAGTATTCTTGCCAACACATTGAAGAAGTATGGATT